GATCATTCTTTGTTGTAGGGAACTTGCTGTGTATTGTTAGATGTGCAGTCCTGTCCCTGGTCTCAGGTTAACAGTTACTCACCATATTTCCAGTCTTTTACTCAGAGTTTTCAGGTTAATCTTCTCAATCTATGCTCTAACATAGTGAGTCCTCAGTGGGAAGCAACACCCACCCCATACAAGGGGCATTTGGAAATATGTGGCAATATTTTTCTTTATTTTACACATACACAAATATTATTTTTTTGTCTTAAATTCTTTTATTGGTACATTTTAGATATGCAATACATTGACATTCACCATTGGGAACTCGTACCTTTATGTGATGTAGCTTGGTTCTTATTTTTTCCCCAAACCTCTGCTCTGACTTCAATCCCTCCACCCCTCCCTATTTACACAAGCTTTGTTTCCAATTACTTCTTATCTCATTTTTTCCATTTTCTTCTTTCTTTTCCCCTACCCCTCCCACTTCCCCATCCCTTAGTACCTTTTCTTCCTATTTCACATTATCAATTATTCATTTTGGTGCTTATTTACACAAATATTTGTTAAATTGGGAGTTGAATCCAGGGCCTTGTACATGTTGGATAAATATTTTGCCATTGAACATCCTTAGCCCAGTTTGAGTTTCAAAATTGAAAAAGTGGAGGGATGTTATTGTGAACAGCTAGTAGACAGAATCTACTAGGGTGCTACAATGCGTAGGATATCCACTTCCCCACATATTTCCCTCAACGGGGGCCTTTCTAGCCTGAAATGTTAATAGTACCAAGGTAGAGCCAACTCACTCTGTCAAAATATCTCTCAGTCAGAAACATTTCCTTGTTTTCTACTGTTTGTGAGAAAGATGACAGATTCATGTCCTCTCCTTATGTAGATATAGCTAGTAATTTGCCAACTATTGCTTATTTTCTGAACCAACTTTGAATAATATGCTGTTTCTGAAACATGATGCATGCCTTCTAGCTCATGTTATTTTGATCACACTGAACACTTCATTTGCCTAAAATGACCATTTCCCATTACTAAAGCCAAAGTGAAATGCTATCTCCTCTATAAGGTTTTAATGAGGCCTGAATTTTCCAGCTACAAATAAATTCTCTTTGCTTGAATATGCCTATAGTGTTTTACTCATATATCACTTAAAGTACTTATATTCATAATATAATGGAAAACTTGAAGTGGTCTTTTTGAAATGTCTTTCCTCTTAACCTTTCTTCCATTTAAAGAAAAAGAAAATGAGGCCAAGATAGGTGATATGATTGGATAAAGGAATCATATTTTCCCATAAAACTTAGACCATGATAATTTTTATACTTGGCTTTGTTCCCCCAGCTTAATTAAAATGGTTTTCATTGAGCTTTGAGTTTTGAATACTGAACTTTAAATCAGACCTGACTTTGAAGTCTGAACTCTGACACTTGGCCAAGTCATATGACTTTCATTTACTTTTCTTTCCCCTTTTTTTTCTGTTTTTGACACCAGTTCTCTGCTTGTAGGTTAAGCAGGAATTGAATTCACTATGTAGTCCGGGATGGCCTTGAACTCATGGTGTTCCTCCTGCCTCTGCTTTAGAGGTGCTGGGATTACAGGCATATTCCACCATACCCGACTTCATTTACTCTTTATAGGCTTAACATACCTCCAATCTCCTCTAAGTGGAAAATCATTTTCCTCCACTATAAATAAAAATAATTATGACAGTTGTGAGAATCAAATGGCATTGTGTATTTGAAGTTCCTGGTACATAGTAGGTACTCAGTAAAATTTGTCAGAAGAGTGTAAAGATAAACTGTATTGCTAGGAATGAAATCTGGAGATTGCTGGTGATCCATGGGACTTCACAAATGTGATCAGAAGCAAAAAGTGGCAGCTAGTTGCTACTGCTTCCTATTTTTTCATATTCTCATAAAAGGATTCCTCTGTAGGCCATCAAACAATAGTCTAAGCATTCTGTGGTGTAACTGACTACTGGTGGTGGCTCTCAAAGTAGATTTTAAAGGTCTGCATTGCTTTTCTCTCCACCCTTTTTTAAATGCCAATGATATAACTTTTCTGTTTCACCAAACACATAATAGGCAGGGCTGTAGAAAGGGGTAAATAAAAGGTATATTTTCTCTATTTCTCTTTAGCCTCCTGTATGGCAGTTTGCTGGAGCTTAGATTCTCTTTAGTATCCTGACAGGAGTGTCTGTGAGAGGAAATTTAGGATGCATTTGAGGTGGCAATTAGATCATTTTGCCATTGGATTCTAACCCACTGGTGACTTATTCTGACTTTATTAAGGTTTACTGTGAGGCCTTTCTTAGCTCTTTGCTCTGGGGCTGCCCATTCCTCCTGCCTAGAGCTTTGGGGGTAATGGGATGCCATGTGATTATTCCTTTTTTTTAAAGAAAATAAGTCTTTTCCTGGTATCAGGATTCATGTACCTAATAGAAATATCCCTGCTAATTAAGGGATGACTTGACAGACCACTGAAGAAACAGAGTAAGAGTTCTGATTATAAATGTGCTGAGTAGAACTGGCTTGACAGTGGGCTCATCTCAGAACTGGCTCCTGCCTTCTCAGTAATTTGAGAACAGATTTGGTTGAGGGGCTAGATAAGTTTAGATGAGCCTATGACAAATTGATTTAGGAGCCTTCTCAGGAAAGGTTATAAGTCAAGGGTCCTGTTAAGGGAAAAAAAAAAAAAAATGTTTCAGTGGGATATGAGAAGACCAGCAGGGGGCAGAGCACCGGATTGGAAGTGAAGAGACTTGGTCTGGCTTGGTGCAGTGGTGCACACCTGTAATCCCAGCACTTGGGAAGATGAGGCAAGAGGATCACCAATAGTTCCAGGACAGCCTGGGCTGAATCACAAAGAGAGACCCTGTCTTACCCCACCCCCCAGACTTGGTCTAAGTTCCTGTCTTGAGCTATCTGCTTCTGAGAGAGTTTGTGGGGCACTCCTGAGCTTCACATCCCAAAATGTAAATTTAGTGCACTAAAGTCTGAAGCTTAAGGGGGGAAGGTGAAGGAGAAGGCTTGGCAGTCTTCAGAATTTTCACTGTGAATTCTCAAAGCATTGTATGAAACTTTCCAATTTTAATATGTAAATGAGTGTGAGTGTGCACGTGTTTGTATTGATGATAAATGTGATAAGGGGGGTACAGGTTGTACACACCTGTAGTCCAAGCTTTCTTGGAGGGTGAAACAGGAGAATTGCAAGTTCAAATCCACCCTGAGTTACTGAGACTTTCTCAAAATGAATGAAAGAAAGAAAGAAAGAAAAAAGGAAAGAAAGAAGGAAAGAAAGAAAGAGAAAGAGAAGAAAGACTGTCTGATGAGGGAAATTTCTGATGAATTAGACACGAATATAAAAACAAAGCAGTCTAAATTGGGGCCATCTTTGACTCTCTATGACTCATTAACTAGTCAATTAAAATGAGGAAAATTAAGATTCACTGGGTACCATGTAAACAGAAACAATTGGATATTTGATTTGATTTAACCTTTAAATAACAAATTATCACAAATATCAGTATTGGCATCCACAAATGAGTATATTGTAGACTGCCCTCTGCAAAGCTAAGAGGGAGGTGAAGGTTGCTGCCTAGTCTTGTGAGGATTTTTCTGTAATTTTGGGTAATTAGGCACTTAACACAATTTCTGGAGTCCTGTTTGCTTAAGCACATTATATTAGCAGTTACTTATTTTGATATCTCATAAAATACCAACTTTTTTTCTTTCTCTGGGCATTGACATTTTCTAAAATAATGCATAAAGCCCACAAATCTCTCAAACAAAAGCATCTATTTTTGGTAAAATAGCAAGTGATGGGATAGATGTATTTGAGCAGGTGACAATTCCCATCACACCTGAATGTAAAACTATATCCTTAGAAGCTTGGCTTTTGTTCTAATTTTCACTTCCTGACTGTTGAATGGATAAGGTGGGACAGATGCACGTATTAAGAAGGACTGAGTTTGATTTTGCCTGTCTGATCTTCTCCTGGTGATGCAAGATATGGCTTATTGAAAGCAGTCTATGTTCAATAGGATACCACTGTTACAGCTATATATGGCTAGATATGCACCCAAAGCCCCATGCACTCCTAGGGGAGGCTTTTGGAAGTTTGCTGGATCTAGGTGGGTGATACTGGGATTAGGGATATGTGGGAATAATTATTCCACTGATTGGAATTAGCATAGTTCTAAGTGTGGCTGAATGGATTTACCCTGGGTGCGGTTGGCACCACCCAAAAGGCTTGTCATCTGGATAGGATAACAGGGAAAGGAAGGCAAGCTTGCTGCTTGCTGCTGCCATCTTCTGCCTGCATGTCATGAAGACTACTTTGCCTTTACGATGTTCCTCTGCCATACCACCCTTCCTTAGAACCAGCTGACTATGGACAGAAACTTCTACAAACTGTGAGCTGAAATAAAGCTTTCCTCCTTCAACTTGTGGTTGTTGGCTATTTTGTCTCATCAATGTGAAAAAGTAACTAAGACAACCAGTTTAGTTGAGTGCCTGGAGTTTTAGGGGTCTTCATGCACTAGGGTGTATAGCCTAGCTCTTCCATTTTCTTGCTGCATGATTTTTACAATTAGTCTGTGTCTCAGTTGCCTTATCTTTTGTAAAACAAGGATGATAAGAAAACCTATCTCATGTAGTTACTGTAATGGTCAATATATAAAGAGCTTCGCATAATGTTTGACACTTAGTCAAGTTGTTCTTGTCATCATTATCATTATCACTGCCATACTATCACCACCCACATCACCCTCAGGTTCCACTTTAACAGGAAAATAAAATCTTATAACCTTTTCCTAAAACAGAGACCAGAATTACCAAAGGAAGAAGTGGAAAACCCAGTTGCATTCATTATCTGCTGTTTATTCCCTAACTATAATATCTTAAAGAGAAGGCATGAAGACTATACGTTCACAGATAATGTCTATAGTTTGTTATGAAAGAGGATATTAGATCCTAATCCCAATGTCTTCTTCCCTGTTTCCACAGGTACCTGTCAGCTTGGCTGGGCCTATTACTGTGCTGGAGGTGGAGCAGCTGCAGCTATGTTGATCTGTACTTGGCTTTCTTGCTTTGCTGGAAGAAATCCAAAGCCTGTCATGTTGGTGGAGAGCATCATGAAGAACACCAGTTCTTATGCCATGGAGCTCGATCACTGCCTCAGACCTTGAGTTTTGAAAGATAATTGGAGAGGGTGAAAAAGGGGAGGAAAGGGAACCAGGAAAACAGGCACTAAGACAAGATGAGGCCAGTTGGCCCCCATCTGCCAGAAGTGCAGCCTAGTATTTGCATGCTTTTACCCCACCTGTCATTTACTTTCATTTTCTGTAAGCCAGTGGATCAGTGACTATTTTCAAAATATACTTAGAGCAGTGATTCTCTCAAATATTTAAGCAATCAATGTATATCCAAGAATGCTCAAGTCTAAATGGGCTTCTTTGTGCAAAATAAGAAGACCCTCACCTGAAAGGTAACTGCATAAACAAGCAGCTCTTTGCAGTGCTATAGCACCTGTGTTCCACATTATCTTAAGGCTTGAAGGCCAAGTCGCAAGAGTTGTGCAGAGAGAGGCCATGAGATGGACAGGACTGTTGCACACCATTCTCTTTAGCATTTATTGCCACCCCAAACATCTCTGGAGGTTCTCACTCAAATATTTATGACCTTAGGACTACATTTTCTCCTAGTTTTGTTTTTTCCTTCACATTTTTTTAGAAGCTTGGCAGGAGGATAACTCCCAGTAGGCAAAACATTAATCATGGATGCTTGCATATAATCTGAGTTCCCTACTGCATTATGATTTAAAATATTCATCAGAATTAATTTTTTTGTTCCTATTGGGTAACTAGCATCAAAATATAGTAGCAAGTATTTCTTAACCTCTTTTAGGTATGGGAATTGTGTTCATCAAATGTTTTAAGAGACTTCAGTACCCAATAAACATGAATTCAATGTGATGATGACAAAGATGTTTCTACTCGATCCTTATTGAAATTTCTATCAGAAAACATTACAATTGACTAGGAAATCAGCAGTGGCATTTTACCCCTATAGTCCTTCCTGGTGTTGATACAAGCTTCTCTGCCTGTTTAAATGACTGCTCATCAAATAATCTGTCCTCCAGAAGTTAGAAATGAAAGAGCACAGTCCTGATCACCTAAGGCTGGTGTATTTTTAGCCCTGGCTTCTATACTATGTACTCAAGGCTAATGGATATTGTAGAACTTGGTATTTCCTTGGGGTGAAATTATTCTCACTACTTCTTCCAGTTAATTCAGGCCAGATTGAGTGATTCATACATACAATTTTGGGGACTGTGAAAGGCCTGTGACTCAAAAAGCCAGGAAATGTTCTATTCTTAATCTTTCCTTCATGATTTGTGTACAGCTCTACCTACAGGAAGAGAAAAGAAAAAACTGACTTCAGAAATGGTATGCCATCTTTCAAAGAGTTAGGATTCTTATATTGACTTTAGTGTACATAAGTGGATTCAAGCATATATTATACTGTATTCATAGTTCTTCCATTCACTTAGCTACTCATTCAGCAACTATTTCTTGAGTATCTTACTATATGTCAAGATCTGTGTTAAGTACTAGTGTTAAAAGGATGAGACTTTCCACCTTAAAAGAGACAGTAATAATGTATCAAAAGACAGATAAATAATTGCCAGTATGGTTTAGGTGCTATAAAAATAAAGAGGAGGAGCTAAATGATCATAGAGAAGGCATACAAACAACTTAGGGGTAATGGGCTTCATGGGAAAGATTTCCAGAAATGATGTTACCTAAGATGGGTCTGAGAGAAGAACAATGGTCATTAATCATCCTGTTTTGTACAAGGCAAGGAGCAGTGCAGGCAGAGGCACAGGGACAGCATGAAGATAACAAACAGGTGTAAAAACTGGAGGTAACAAAAGCTGACAATAAAAAGGGAAGCAGTAGCCATCCCAGTCCAAGGAAAGAATTTGGGTTTTATCCTAAAGAAAAGCCGTTGAAAGGGAAGGGACATGAATATATCTGCATTTTTCCAAAGATCAATTTTGGTATAGTAACAAGAATGAAAGGGAGCTCAGAGAGAGACTAGAGATATTTTCATATTAGAGATATAATATTAGAGCTATTATATTAGAGATACAATCTAGGTGTAAAGGATCAAGTCGTGAACTAAGGTAGTGACTGTGATACTGGAATAGATAGATGGATTTGACAGAAGAAACATCTTGAGCATACCTAATCCAAAAATATGAAACCTTAAATGCTCCAAAATGCTACTTAAGTGTTATTTTGGTGCTTACAAGGTTTCAGAGGATTTTATTTTTTTCCTTTTATTGAGTTTATTAGTACATTACAGGTATATAGTACAGTTACATTCATTATTAGGATCTTGTACCTTTACATGACAGGTATTGGTTCTCATTTTCCCCTTGTCCCTGCCCTCCCTTCACCCTCTCCTCCCCTCCCCATTTACAAACACTTTATTTCCTTTTTTTCATTTTGTCATATTTTTTCTTTTCCCTTATTACCTCTACCCTACCCTTCCCATTTTCCCTACACCTTTAACCCTTTTCTTCCTATTTCACATGGTCATTTATCTCAGTAGGATCTTATGTACTATGATAGCTTTTCACACCAGAGAAACTATTCGGTATTTACACAGGTGTGACTTATTTATTTCACTTAGGAGTATATCCTCAATATGTATCCATTTTCCTATGAATGAATCTAATTTTTCATTCTTTATGGATAAGTCGTATTCCATTGTATAGAAAAAACACATCTTCTTACCACATCTTCTTTATCCAGTTTCCAACTGATGGGCAAATGGGCTGTTTCCAAGATTTAGATATTACAAACTGTGCAGCTATAATCTAGAATATATAAAAAACTCAAAACAATTAGCCCCCCAAATATAAAGACCCAATTCAGAAATGGGCATCTGAAATGAACAGACATTT